CACCTTGTTGTCTCGGATTCTCCAGCATCTGCAGTTCCTACTATCTCAGATATTCTGTTACTGACTTGTTCTGGTGTTGGATTCAATTTTCTGGCCCAGAATTGGCTTGAGGACCTAAGAGAGAGCATGAAAGGAAGTTGCCAGGACAGCACAGGGCGTTGGTCATTGCTTTAAAAACTAATTGATATGAAGGAAAGGTGGAACTGCAATGACACCACTGTGCACAGGATGTAGTGATGTTAGCAGTCCAGGCTCATTGCGAAGTCTATCATAGCCAACTGACATCACTGACCATGCGCAGGGGCCAGTGGCCATCTTTATTGGTCATTTTGATGTTCAGAATAATTACTTCTTTTTTCAGTATTAACACATTAGGGCTTGTTTTGAGGCCAGCATTTATATAATGATTCAGCAGCTGGATTTCAGGAATGCAGTAATATAGGAACTGGCAGCAAGAGTGTGCCTCTAAAGCCTACTCTGACATTCACACAAGTATAGGAACAGATGTAGGCCTGCTCCACCATTAGATACGATCAATGCTGATCAAACACTTCAGTGCCTTTTTACCATCCCATTCCCATAGCCATGTATGCCAGTGATAATCAGAAATCTATCAATCCCTGCCTTAAACATACTTGAAGCTTGTGCGGCCAGTGACGCTGCTGCTGATGTTTTTATCTGCGACACATGGTGTTTGTTTTATATTCACTTCACCTCACAGTAAACAATAACTTGGTACTGGCTTTTCCAATTCCTTCTTGTACCTTCATACAAACTTTGTGATTCATGCACAAAGGCCCCCTGATTTTTCTGCATCTCTGAGCTCTGCAATTTCTCACGAATTTTATTATTCCTGCCAAAATGGAGAATTTCACATTTTCCCGCATTGTACTTCATTTTCCAGATCTCCACCCACTCACTTCACTTATCTGTACTCCTTGTGCTATGTGATTCAAACCAAGGCTACCAGAACATTAGCCTGGGGCTCTGGATTACCAGTCCAGTGGCATTACTACAATGTTACCACCTCCGCACTATTTGTATTTGTATTTTAGCCAATGTTGTGGGTGAATCACCGCAAGTTATCTTAAATTTGGCTACTTATTAAGAAATCTCACAATCAAGTACTGAAACAATGATTTAAACTTTATTGCATGTAGCAACCAAAATATGACCTTTCAAGTAAGCAAGTTAAGTCTCACAGCCTAATTTAACTATTACCCAATTAATGATGGAATCTGACCAGGATTGGTCTGTTCTGGAAGTGTCCAGGATTTGACTCTTGTACAATGTTGTTCTTCAAAATTCTGCTACTGACTTGTTTCTGCAATGGATTCTCATACAATTTTCTCTTTTTCAAGTTTGTACTGTGACCTTATTGATAATTCAAAAGATTCTTTCAGCCCCAACATTGATTACTGTTTCTGGAGACCCCAAGTCTGTAGATTGCCTTCTTATCAGAAGTAGCCCCTCTGTTCCTTGTTACACTCAGGGTTAGCTGTCTGTTTAAACCACAGCTTTTTTTGCAATTAACCCCTTTACTTCAGATCATTACTTCTTCACTAGACTTAATTGCCCATTTGTCATGAGGTAGCATGATACCAAGCAGTTGTTATCTCCTCTCTCCCAGGAAATATAGAAACATAGAAGATAAGAGTAGGAGGAGGACATTCAGCCCTTCAATCCTGCTCTGCCATTCATCACAATCATAGCTGATTGTCCAACTGAGTAGCCTAATCCTGCTTTCTTCCCATAACCTTTGATCCCATGTGCCCCAAGTGCTATACCTAGCCACCTCTTGAATACATTCAATGTTTTGGCATCAAATACTTCCTGTGGTAATGAAGTCCACAGGCTCACCACTCTTTGGGTGAAGAAATGTCTCCTTATCTCCATCCTAAATGGTCTACCCTGAATTCTCAGACTGTGACCCCTAGTTCTAGACACACCCACCATTAGGAACATCCTCCCTGCATCTACCCTGTCCAGTTCTGTTAGAATTTTAAAAGTCTCTATGAGATCGCCCCTCAATCATCTGAACTCCAGTGGAAACAATCCTAACCTAGTCAATCTCTCCTCAAATGTCAGTCCCGCCATCCCCAGAATCAGCCCGGTCAACATTCACTGCACTTCCTTGAGAGCAAGATCATCCTTCCTTAGAAAAGAAGACCAGAACTGCACACAATATTCTAGATGTGGCCTCAGCAAGGCCCTGTGTAACTGCAACAACTCTTTCCCTACTTCTATACTCAAAACCTCTTGCAATGAAGGCCAACATAGAATTTGCCTTCTTTACCGCCTGCCCCACCTGCATGCTTACCTTCAGCGACTGGTGCACAAGGACACCCAGGTCCCACTGCACACTCCCCTCTCCCAATTTGCAGGAAACAGATTGTTTATCTTGTTCCTCTCAGGGATGGTTAATTCGCATGTGACTTTTAATTCCCTCTTTCATCTTTCATTGCTGATTCTTTCAATCTATGAACAGTTACTAAAGTTGTGAAATTTACATTGTCACACTATATTTCTCTTGTAATCTAATCTTACACTTCTTGGATAACAAGGTGTAGAGCTGGATGAACACAGCAGGCCAAGCAGCATCAGAGGAACAGGAAAGCTGATATTTCGGGTCGAGAGCCTTTTCTTGATTTTTTTTTGTCATTCTTCACTGCTTTTTTATATTCTGCACAGTCTTCTGATCCGCCACCCATTTATGTGCCATAAAATGGTTTTATTTAAATTTGAGACTATCTGCAATGGTAAGGTAACCATGGACAGCAGGCAGTCAGAATGGATGAAATATGTCTATGTAGATTAATATCATAGCTCAGCATAAACTGGAGAGTGAAGATGGCATTATGATAAGAAAGGGTGAATTTTTGGATGTTGGTAGCCTGAGAGCATGGTACTCTGCTAGATATTTCATACCTTGGAAAGATCTGTCGAAGTTTTAGGCTGAATTTTCCAACAGCTCCAGTGCTTTTTTCCTATTATCCCAACTCATTCAAAATTGAGCACCTTATCGTTCTGCCTGTCAATCTTATTTCTGCTGGTCCACAGCGGATGTTGGAAAGGCTGCTGCCTTCTTCTTGAGGTTGTTGTTGCATCACTACACCGGCCGGGTTTCCTCAGGTGGGAGACTTAGTCTGTAAGACATGGTAGGTCTGATGATTTCAGCCTCTTTAAGTACTTAAAATATTAACCAGCCTTCTAGTAACAGGCTGACAGGTTTCTGCTTGCAAAACTTCGTGGCTGTTGAATTAGAGTTTGCTTCCCAGTGTGCTCAAATATTTAACTCCCCCTGTCTACAGCCAATCCCACCTGCTTGTCCAGGTTAAAACTCTGTCCTCTATTTCTATACAGATTTGTATGAGGTGGTGATAAATGCCATAAGGATCAGTCTATCTGTTTCACTCCTTGTCCCTCTAAACAAGTTGTTGATCTTAGATCTTTTATTGTTGATTTGAACACAATGTTGGCGTCAAAATGACAAAGGTGAAAATTGCAGTGTCTAATGTGAACATTGATTTGAATCATGGGTTGGATATTACATGTACTGCCAAGTGTTTTTGACAGGGGTTTGCATGTAAAATAGGATGAGGCGCCTGGCCCACCATCTTCCTAAGCACTGAAAAGCTCACTCCTTTAATAAATGGCGGGTAGGTGACAAAATTGACATTTTGCTCATGATTCAGTCTCTCAAAGTCACCCTGCCCGCGCCATAATACTGCAAGTGTGGCTGGGAATAGGCGGCCTATTATTTTTAAATGTTTTAAAAGTGTGGGGAAGTAAGAGATTGTACTATTTTCAGAGTTGCTCTACATGCATTGGGGAGACCCCCTGAAGAAGGTAGCTCCCTTTGTTCCTTCCTGCATGGACTTTAAACTGACCACTCACCCCCACTCCCTCAACTCAAAGAATCCTCCCCATCAATGGCCCTTATTTATTCCAATTGGCGGTTCCTTGAGCCTTTTCTCTGACACTGGTTGGTGCTCTGGCAGTGCCTGTTATCGAACTCTGGCACCTGCAGGACTGTTGGAGCTATCAGTCCATCTGATTGGCACTAACTCCAGAGAGTGGGACCTCCTGGCATTGAGGGGCAGAATTCTCACGAAGCACTGGTTTAGCACATTTTCGCTAAAGGATGGCCTTCTGAATTTGTTGGCTGGATGCAATGGTCCATCTGGTGTGGGGCTTGATATACACCCCTCGCTCTCATAGATTTCTGCCCCATTTGAAGTGTATTGCAGGATGTTTAAGAGTTATTTTTTCCATAGTGTTGGTTCATATGATGCTATATTAATAAGCTAAACATTCATGTCATAATTCTATGTACCGGTAAGATAGATATGTTTGGTATTGTAATCTGTGTGCATAAAGTTTATTTTTGTTATTTAATGTTTTTGATTTTTAGTGGAATAATGGCAGCATTAAAAGGAATTTTATATGAATATATTTGGCTGCGTGCTATTCGAGAAAATTATTCCGATTTTCTTTGAAAATGTGATTTCCTTGAACATTGTGTTTGGTTTGGATTTTGTGCACTTTAGTTAACAAGTACTACAGTTGAATAATGACTGCATTTGGATGCATGTGAACCTGAAGCAAATACAGTTTTTGACTTTGTCTTTCATTTGCAGAACTAGCCCTGAAAATCAGATTGTGAAATCAGGATTTACCAGTCGAAAGATAATTATTTTACAAAATGATGACCCAGGTGGAGTGTTTGAATTCTCCCCACAAACGAGAGGACCATATTTTGTCAATGTAAGTCTGGGTGAACGGTGTTCAGATAAATAGTTCTGTGGAAAATTGTGTGAATGAAGTAAAACTCTACCTGATTTCCCTTGAATTAGGTTTATTTATATCTTAGGCTATTGGCGTGTTTGATTTTCCTAGCTTTAAAAAAAATTATATTCATGAATAATATGACCTCACTTGGAAATTTCATCTTACCATTAAATAGGGGAGAAGGCAAAACAAGTGGAATTTTTTGTGCATATTTAGTTATAACTAACAGTATAACTAACAGTTATAAATAACAGTAATGGATGTGTAATCAAGTTTACAATTTACAGCGCTGGCTAACAACTTACATTTAACATACTAGCATTTATAACTTGCATATAGTGTTACAAGTAAGGTTCCCAATTTGTTCTGATTCTGGGTGGGATATTCACAAATGTTTGTCCTCCCAGGTGAGGAGAGATGAACTAGCTCCCCTTTATTCAACCCTCCCGTGCTTGATTTTAATTAAAGTTAGACTAAAAAGGATCCTAACTGTGTGGATATTTTTACCCAACACACATCCATTTATGTTTCAAAAGGAGCCAGTTTAACCAGGCTTTCTTGAATTAAAGTTAGAATGAGTTTATTTGCTACTAAAAGGTGAGAAAAGATAATAAACTATGTCACATACGCAGAGATTAAATATGAGAAGTAAGTCCAAAAAGGTTTTAAAAATCACACTTTTTGGTTGCCCCTGATGAGTAGACTATGAAACATTACAGCTGTTAGGTGGATGATCCTGGTATCGCTCAATTTGATAGTAAAGTAGTTGTTTCAAGTTTCTTAGTTCTGCAGTTAACTTAAAGGTGTTAGTGCAGTTTCTTTCAACAATGGCTTTGTTGGAGAGAGATTTTACTTCATTTTATCTGCGCACACAGGACTAAAGGAAGATCTCAGCTGTTCTGAGATAGCGAAAACTGCAGATGCTAGAGTCCGAGTCAATGCAGTGTGGAGCTGGAGGGGCACAGCAGGTCATGCAACATCAGAGGAGCAGGAGAGTCGACCATTAGGGTTGGGATTCTTCACCAGGACGATGGGGTCCTGACCCGAAACGTTGACTTTCCTCCCCCTCCGATGCTGCCTGACCTGCTGTGTTCCTTCAGCTCCACACTAAATTGACAAGATCTCAGCTGTGTCCTTTTACAGGTACTGTAAACACAATAACTGTAAACACTTTAACACAATGTATCATGAACCACAAGCTAGTATACCAGCACTCCAGCATATTAGGACTAGAGAGTCCTGGTGTTTATTAACTCCCTTTTTTGGGTATACTTGGAAAAGTAAAACACAAATATATCTTTTGCCCAGAGCTACCTTTTCTCAACTCATCATATCCACAGCCTGGGACACAACCCAGAGGAGAACACAGCTCAGATTTTTAAATGACATCTCTCCTTTTGAAGTGTTGCTGTCTGATGTTCCTCTGACACTCTTCTGAGTGTGACATTTCATGGTACCTCTTGGGGCTCAGTGTAATCCATACAGAGATTTTATCATGCAGCCATTAAATTTACACTCTCAGGTATCTTTTGGCAAGTAAACAACTCATGTTGTTCTTATAAGTTCAATGTATCCATAAGTAATTTGGGGTTATGGTCCACTTCATGACAATAAGAATTCTGTGCTGACTTTCTTTGTTTTCATTCACTTGTTTGCTGATGATGGTCTTCTTGATAGAATATTGTTCCCTTGCTGTGTAAATTGGCCCAGTATATATGGGCTAGTAATATAGAAGTCCATGCTAATGCTCTGGATACATGGGTTCAAATCCCACCAAGGCAACTGGTTGAATTAAAATTTAGTTAATAAATATGCTGGAATTGACAGCTTGTATCAGTAACGGTGACCATTAAACTACCATTGATTTAATAACAAACAAGTAATGTCTTTCAAAGACATTTTTACTAGTCTGGCTACATGTGACTCCAGATCCATAGCATGATGATTGACACTTAATACCCTCTGGAATAACTCAGTAAGTCACTCAGTTCAAGAGCAATTAGGGATTGGTAATAAGTACCAGCAATGCCACATGCTGTAAAAGAATTTTTAACAATTCCTGTGTGAACCTGCAGAATGAATATTAGAATGCTATTTGACCACAAGCTAACTGAACCAAATCATATTCCGTCCTCATATAATTGCCATTGTCATGGAATAGCGCTCAGGACGCGAGTTCTGATTGAATTCTTTCCAAACAGCTAATTGTAATGTTTCTAACACTAGTCACTCTCAGATCTCTTTTATAATTGATTAAAGTAGTTGCTTAGCTTCATTAACTAGTTCCTTACAGCAATCTTCAAACTAATCAACATTTTTTGTGCTCTTGTTCCAATATGTTGACTGTACGCTATTGTAAATTGTTTCATGAAATCAGGTCCATTTCACTCTGTGCGGGAATACCAGCAAGTGTCCATTCAGTTGAGAAGAGGAGATGCTGGTTCTTATGTTGGTAGACAGCATGATTGGTAATGATATAAAGACAGTCTTTCTGGTTTGGATGATAAAACACATGAGAGTTGTACTGTACTCGTGATGCAGACCAGGAGTGACCTGTATCTCAGATTGTACTGTGATAGCTGTGTGTATTAAGAATGCTGACCAGAGAGTCATATCTCTTGATTATCAGATCAGGCTGGTACCACAGCCCTTATTCTAGCTGTCCCAAGGACTCTTTATGGCTTGGTTCCTTCTGAAAGAAGTTATTTAGTTACACAGGGTTTGTGGTGGCAACATATCTTAAATAGTCCTATGTCATGATATCTGAGGCAGGTGGGCCATGTGTCAAGGCACACACTCACTCTATTAAGGATTTTGCTGGTATCCTTATCAAATTTCTCATTGAATTGACTCTTCATCATTGTAACAAGCAAAGAGTTAGAGCACAGACACTCTTCATGTTAAGTGTTTGCAATGAGAAGCAGATAAAGTCGACACTTTTTGAACCATTTGTGGGGAGTTCCATCGTCAAGAGTAGTAATTTCGTTAAAATGAAACGTGACATCTGAATGACTGATGTTTCTCTGTCAGCGATCTACTCTGTGAGCCTAGTCTTTTGTAAGGGAGCTATGTCAGATTTTAGCCTGTCAAGTTCCAAGTTAATCATAGCTGTCCTGCATGAGTCTCAACCAGCTGAAAGCTGTCGCTTAGTTCCCTGTACATATTTTTACATTCTAACTTGTCAACCAAAGAGTTGGCATCTTCTTTCCCTTGACTTATTTTGTCTATTTTTGAGTATGTTTAATTCCACCCACTCATTAATTCCACTCACTCATTTGCAATCTTAAGCAATCTAGTTTCTGAAGATTGTTTGTAATTAAGGCAGTTCTGTTTAAAATTTAGAATGCCATGAGTTACCTTTACAACTCGTATTTTGATATTGTTTGTGTTCAGGGAAAAGTGCTATTTATAAAACTATTCATCGTAAATAATTAAAATTAAAATAAATAAATGGCTGCTAAATTTGAATGTGTACCTCACCATGTCGTAGCCTCATTACCACCACCTTCTTTAAGTATAGGAACCTATAAGGTCTACTGGTCCAATGTGGTCAAGGAAAACCTTACTGGTCTAATTAAAAAGGTCAGAAATCACATGACACCAGGCAATAGTCCAACAGGTTTATTTGCAAACACAAGCTTTTTGAGCCTTGCTCCTTCAGGTGTTAGTGAGGTGGTATCAGACACAGAATTTATAACTAAAAGATCAAATTCTGTGTCTGATACCACCTCACTAACACCTGAAGAAGGAGAGAGGCTCCGAAAGCTTGTGTTTTCAAATAAATCTGTTGGACTATAATCCGGTGTTGTGTGCTTTCTGACCTTGTCCACCCCAGTCCTAAACTGGCACCTCCACATTACAGCTAATTAATCTTTTATTGAACATGAAGTCGCTTATTGCATGTTAGCAACTAATTTCAGGTTACTTGGTGTTGTTATACATGTTATGGGCTGAATCTTATGGGGCTCAGAGCAATGTGAGCTTTGGCGAAGTGAGTGGCAGAATCAGCTGAGATGTTCGTCGGGTCATATATTGATACTGAGATTATCTTGCCCCATCTTTTCTTATAGCGGCATGGTGAAATTCCCACTGGGTTGTAATGAATTACCAATTGATGGTGATTACCATGAGGTAGATTCTCGTTGATGGCTCAACATGCCGCATTAATATTCGGATTGCGATCTTACCCACTTGCCTGTAATAACTCAAGAAGCCCAACTGGAAAGGAACATTATTATTGCTGAACACCAAAATAGAGCCACTACCCATGGCATATATTGGCTAGTTCCAGCCTGGAACAGACAGTTCTGCAGACCCATCCGTGGGTTTACTTTATAAAGGGCTCAGGTGATGAGTTCCAGACAGACAGGCCATTGCCTGTTACCTAGGAACTCATACTCAGTGAGCTCCACAGGGAGATTAATTAAAGATTCCCCATGGCTTTGCAGGGGTTACCACATTGCACAACAATCTAGATGTTGGGAAAACCTGAAATGGAAACCAGAGCAGATTTGAGCTTGCCACTTGCTCCAAAAAACCTGCACGTTGGATACCAGCTATCAACATCTCAAGGAATGCTCCAAGGGCATTGGTCACATGCATCCCACATCCACGGACATTGGCACCTGACATGTGGCAGCCTTTTAGAGCCCTGATGACACATCTCTGATCCACTTACCGGATGCTTCTGCACTTCACTGCTGCACCACAGGCTGCAATGGCAATTATTATTTGCAATGCTACAGCAAGGATACTGTATACTCAGGCTCACCTGAGTCAGCTCATGGATTGGAACAGGCTGCATCTCCGAGCCCTTTGTTTGCTTCCCAGCCGTTACTCATTCTGTGCCTACCCGGATGCTAACATAATCCCTGCCTTGCATTGCCGTGCCTTGCTTTTTTGCACTTTCCCCCCTCAGCCAGATATACCAGGCTAATATTACTTCTGTCCAGTTGTGCCACTTAGGGCAGTTGCAGAGCCACGAAGTTTGTCAGTCAAGTCAAGGGTGATAGCCTTTGCTTGGGGGTCCCAACATAATAAGTCAAAGGCAGCCTCTGATACCAGTCCAGGGTCTGCTCAGGCCAGTTTGAGTCAGGATTGTCTCTTCCTAAGAGAAGAGGAGATGAATTTCGGGCACCATACCACCCATATTGGCTCTTACAGTCCTTTCGAGGGCTGTTTTTCTCCTGGAATGAGACAGCAACAAGTATTATAGAAGGTGAAAGATGGCGCCACTGCTGTTACTGTTAATGCAGTTGGTGAGTTGTCCCAAGTGAGTGATTAGGCCGTGCAAAAGGCATGCAGGGTTAGTAGGGTTGATGGGTGAGAGCAAGTAGGGAAGATGTTGCAGGGAATGGTGAGCATGGTAGAGAATGAGCGTTGGTGGGAGGTCAGTACAGGAGCAGAGATAGAGTGAGGTGAGGTTTCAGAGAGAAAATGGTGGCACTCACACTGACAGAATGGAGATGGCCCTTGACCTTTATTGGGGACATTCTTTCAGATGGCTGAGACTGCTTTAACCTGAGTGGCAACCTTGGAGCAGGTTGACATGGTCAGGTGCTGTGGACTGCTGGTCCTGGGGGAAGAGGACGTTTTGCCTGTATAGCATCCCATCCAGCAACACCTCCAGGTCCCTGCCCATAAAATGGGATTTAGATTTCCCCCATCTGCTACGTCTCAGGCAAATATGAGGAACTGTGCAGGTCAGCTCCAGACTGATGGTACACAACAGCCTTCCAAAGATGACATTGGGGTTGGAGAGGAGGGTATTCATCAATATGTTGATAGAATCTGATAATAATGTGAATAATTTCTTGGAACTCCACCCTCTTGCTATCATTTGTTTATTGCAAAAGGCCATGGAAATTTTTTTCCCAGATGTGATTTGCTCATTTGTCGTTCTTGATTTTAATCGACCTAAAATATTTCCTTTCCTAGGAAGGTGTTGCCTTTGAACTCAAGATTGTCCGATATCGTGGAGCACTTCTGAAGCAATTCTTGCGCTATGTTGTGGAACCAAAAACATCTTTCGAGTTTTACGGGAATACAGGAGTCTTGGAATTTGATCCTGGGGAAAGAGAAATAGTAATAACATTGTTAGCAAGGGAGGATGATATACCTGAGGTAAGGCTTTGGGTACTGCGGAATCATTGTTTCTCAGAGTGTTAAAATAAAATCTTTAGAGTATGAATATGTGACAGTGGTTAAGAATTGTGAAGATAAATATTGACACAGGATATCATGCTATTCGTGTGAACAGTTTCCTTGAAATCATGAATTTCTTAGTGGCACTGAATAGTTTTAGTATATACAGATCTAGCTGTGTCTGTGGATTGAACTAAGAGAAAGTGTAAATGTTCCTCCTGTGCATGGAGAAGCAATGGCAGACTTTATCGCCATTTTGAGGAAAATGCTAAGGTATAGGTAACTAATTTTGGTGGAACATTTGAAATTCTGCTGCCTGTCGTAGTAAGACATTTCTGCTGGCAAGAAAATTTTTACCTGATGCTTTCTGTTGCAACCAGAAAATTTTGCAAATAGCGATAACATTCACTTAAATTTGCCAATCCCATTTCCTGGAGTTTTTAATCCCTTCATGAACATCCTTGTCAGGTCTTTAAAAACTGCAGAGTATATATTTAAATCTATGACCTATGTTGTTTAATCAGCACCAGTTGGCTGGGCATGGAATTCTCCGCAGTTTGGGAACATTATGTCAGCAAGACATTCAGTGTTGTTTATAATCCAATATCGTCCACATTTTTTACAGGATAGTTTGACCTCTGTAACTGCATATTTTATTTTACACATTAACTCTGAGGGGGGAAAATCTCTTTTCTTCTTACGTGAGGCTTCTTTATTTTGTACCTATCCTTTTACAATGTTTGATATTCTATCCTGTCTAAACTTGAAGCTATTCAAAAGCTTACTCAAAGTGTCCTTCACCTAATCACCTACTTTGTGACCTCAATTTTTAAAATTCTCTCTCTCTCTCTGTCTCTCTCAGATGCCTCCAGGACCATAGCCCTACTTATTTTTGTCATATCCTTCACCCCTATAAACGTTCAGCTATAGGATACTTGTAGATATCTATGCTCCAGTTCTGATTGCTTGAATATCCCTGACTTTAAGCATGTAATTAGTAGCTATGCCTTTGGTTGTTGAGTTCTCAAGATCTAGAATTATCTGTAGTAAGTTGCCTGTCTTCCTCCTTTGAAGAGATCTACCTCTTTCATTGAGTTAACCCGAATAACCCTTATGTATCACAGAGTGCCATTCTTTAATGATACATTTGTGAAGTGTCAAAGGTGCAGTATAAATGCTAATCATTGTTTGTTTTAGCTTTCATTTGATTCACATTAAAAGCAGATTAATGTGTGGTATTTATCTTTGTATAATTCTTTCACTTATTCTTAGCTGGATGAACAATATTCTGCAATACTCAATAGCCACAGTTTTCCACCAAGCAAATTAGGAACTGCTACACAGATCAATATCACAGTTTTGAAGAATGATGATCCCCATGGCGTAATACAGTTCATCACTCAGGAATTTACTAAAACTATAAAAGAAAGCGAGGGGGATACCATATACACAGGTAAAAATAACTTCAATAATTGATTGACATGATTTTCCAGTTGGATGGAATCATTATGTTGCAAATAGTCATAGTCAACCCCTTAACAATAGAGTGACAGAGTTAACAGAACAGTAGTCATCTTTTGTATAATATGTTTAGCAATCCTGAAAGAACTGTCAAATCTAGGAACAATACAACTTAGCATTAGGTCTTAAAGTATAAGGCTTTAATCAAGGCCTTTAAGAAGTACTTGATAACTTTGATCAATATGAAACATTTCACTACATTAACAACCAGTTGATCTCTGACTACAAGTACAGAGTGTTGCAGGTGGTGGCAATATCCTTGCAGGCAATACAGTTCCTTTCTGGGGTTCTTGTGGTGCAGTGGTAGTGTCCCTATCTCTGAGCCAGGAGGCCCGAGTTCAAGTCCCACCTGCCCTGAGAGTGTGTCTTTTTTTTAATTCTTTCATGGAATATGGGTGTCGCTGGCTAGGCCAGCACTTGTTATCCACCACTAATTGCCCAGAGGACAGTTAAGAGTCAAACACATTGCTGTGTGTCTGGAGTCACATATAGGCCAGAATAGGTAAGGATGGCAGTTTCATTCCCTGGAGGATATTTGTGAACAAGATAGGGTTTTCCAACAATGAATTCATAGTCATCTTTAGATCCTTAATTCCAAATTTTTTTTCAAAACTTGATTTCAAATTCCTGCATCTTCCACAGTGGGATTTGAATCCAGGTCCCCAGAACAGTCCAGTGATAATATCACTAGGCCTTCACCTCCCCAATAATATCTCTGAACAGGTTGGATTTTAAAGAAATCTACAGTTTCTTTCTAGGGACTTTTAGTGGTGCTGGGAATGTTTCAGACAGCGCACAGCCTTATTAGGGCACCACGAGGAATGAGGCAAAAACTGCTGGAAATGCTCACTACATCAGCCAGAGAAGCAGTTCATGTTTCAGGTTGATGGCCTTAGTTCAGGCCTGGAAAATGTTAGAAGTGTAGTTGAGTTTAATCAAGTAGAAATGTGGGCAAGTGAAGGAGAGTAGGCCTATGATTGGCTGAAAGGCAGGGGAGATTAAATAATAAAAAGGATGATGGTGCAAGGCAAATCTGGGGCAAATAATTAAATAAAAATGGTTCCACAGGTGTGAGAAGGAGAATAGTAGATTCATTGTCAGCAAACTGTGTTTGAAAGAATGGGGAGGTTATGGTCTACAATGCGGAGATAGCAAGAATTGCAGATGCTGGAGTCAGAGTCAATACAGTGTGGAGTTGGAGGAACACAGCAGGTCAGGCAGCATCAGAGGAGCAGGAAAGTTGACATCCTGATACAGGATGTGAACCTGAAACGTCGACTTTCCTGCTCCTTTGATGCTGCCTAACCTGCTGTGTTGCTCCAACTCCACATTGTATTGACAATGGACAACAATTGTTGAATCCTGCAGTGAGTCTTCAAGGCAATAACGTGCCTACTTAAAAAGACAAAGTGATGTTTCTCAAATTTGTTAAGCTTCATTGCAGCAGTGTGGAAGGTTGAGGACAGAAATGTTAAAAAGTGAGTGGGGCAGATAATTAAAATGACAGGTGATTGAAAGCTCAAAATCGCACTTCTCACCTGAAGAAAGAAGTTCCTCAAAGTTGTCACCTGATCTACTTTTATCAGCCCAGTGTATGGGAGACCACATCATGAGCAGCAAGTATAAGTTACTAACGTGTAAGAGATACAAGTAAATCAATGTTTCACCTGGAAGGGAGGGTTCAGGCTCTGGATAGTGGAGGTGAAAGAATAGGTGTTGCATCTCCCATATTGGAAAAGGAAAGGATTGTTGGGAGCAATTCAAGAGTGGGATAGGGTACCATGGAGCAAAGTGTGCCTTTAGAATACTGGGAGTGGAGGGAAGGATAAATGTGTTTACTGGTGGTGGTAATGGTCATTTAAATGTGGAGGATGCTGGAGTGGAGCTTGAGGGAAAGGGGAGATCTATTGTGCAGATGTAGTTAGAATCCATATCTTTTATTTAAGGGAGGTAAGTGATATTAGAGAAGTTGAGAATGCAATTTCAGCCAGGTGAGGAAGGATGATGGTGAATGAAATCCGGTTTGACCTTTGTTCAAGGAAGAAGCAGAGAATCCTCCTCGTGTAGAATAAGAATGCTGAACATGGAAGAAAAGGTCTGCTCTGCAGGCTGAGAAGGTTGGGAAATGCCTAACCAGATGGTGTTGAAGACAATATTACAGAAGAAATGCTCAATGTGACAAGCTTAAAATTGATTGAGATGGTGGTGTGAGTGGATAAAACTGAAGACTTTACTACAAATTAATGATTTGTAGACGGTATTTGTTGACCTCCAAAGAAGGGCCAAATAAATATTCCAATTGACTGGTCAACATTGCTCCTCTTGTTGCAGACTGTTTTAAGTAACCTATATTCTATGCCCATGTTGCTACACATAATGAAGCATTTTACTTTAATTCATCAGCTAGCTTTCCTTTAATCCGTGACCGAGGAACATTTGGTAATGTTAGTGTGTCCTGGATTGTGGACCCTGCTTTCACGAATGATGTTTACCCAGTCCAAGGTGTGGTCAACTTTAACAGTGCTGAATCGTCAAAAAACATCACTCTTCAGTCCCTTCCTGACGCAGTGAGTTATGGTTTTTCAGTTCAATGCATTCTGGTAGTAAGGGCAGATTTAAACAAAGTAGGCCTCGTGTTCAGGAAGTATAAAGATCTTGTCAATATTGTTGCCAGGCCATGATGCAATCAAAATGCTTAAAGTTTTGGGAGAGTGACATTGGGAAGGGGAGCGGATGTGCATAGCAGGTGGAGTTTGGGGTGGATCTGGCTTATAGACCTCTTTCTTCAAGCTGGTGGTGTCCAGGACCTAGTTTGGTAGGAAACTGTGATTGGTCAAACACTTCAACATCAAAGATATGGAACATGGCAGCACTGGTTATAGTGTCCTGCCATTGGCCAGCAAAGTCACTGTGGTCTTGAACCTCTTCAATTCTGGTTCCTACCAGCAATCTTAGAGGTATTTCAGAATTATCTGTGTACCATTGTGTCTCAATAGTCGTTGATGCCCTGTTTGCCGAAGCTGGATGCAACATTACATTCACGACAGGTGTAGCTCACAAGCACCATGGGAAGTGGTTTGGCCTCCATCCCTGGTTTCTCCATGATACATGGCACCAACCATTTATTATGGGCTAGAAGGTCTGAGTTCAAGTCCCACCTGCCCCAGACATGTATTATAATCTGTCTGAACAGGATGACTAAAAGTATCTGCAGAGATGGTGATGGGGACTGAAGACGATTATTATATTATCTTTTACACAAAGAGGTAAATAAATGCACAAAGTGATTGAAAATCTTCAATTGAGTTAAGAGAAATACTTTTTCAATGTCCAGAATGTTTCATTAACTTGTTTTCCCTTTAGTTTTACAGAAGAGCTTTTGTATGTTTTAGACATGTTGCGGCCAGACCCCAGACAAGGTTCTCCAGTTAATTTGGTTCTAGATGGGATACTCATTCAGTCTCCGGGTGAGGAGGGATGAGCTTTCTCCCCTTCTTTATGAACCTACCCATCCTCTTGATTGGCCACAAAAAGGTTAATTTAAAAATGGATCACTTCACCTTGAGAATACGTTATATTTTGAAAAAAGCTTAATTTTTAAAAAGAGCCAATTTAACCAGGCTTTCTTGAATTAACCAAAAGAGTGAGTTTATCAATTACTAGATGTGAGAAGAATTCTTCACACAACCCACACATGCAGATTACAACTAAAAGATAAATTGAAAAAGATAGAAGTTCAAACAAAACGGTTTCATGGATCAGGCACTGAATTGTTCGTGAAGAGCAGATAAGGTGATATGGCTGTATTTGGGTTACACTGATTGTGATGACCTTCGTTTGAACAGCTGATTCTTGGTTTTGTAGACTTATTCAATTTCCTTTGTCCTGATTCCTGTTTTTTTTTCCTAATTGGTTTGCAGCCAATTTGAGGGAGAACCTTTCTAGCAGCACAAGGGTGACTAGGGATAGTTCCTTGACTGTGACTTTCACGGTCCATTAACATTTGAAACCGGACTGGTGTACATGAGTGTTCAGTCCCAGTAGTCTACTCCAGTCGTATTGAAGAAAACATTTTAACACCTGTCCTTGTGTATTCTTCAAGGGATATACCCAAATCGTGTCTGCGTTTGGGACATAATCTGCAAGAGGTGACCTGCTGTTGACCAGAGCTTGTCGGTCCATCTTTATCTTTGCAGTCACGAGATCACAGTCCAATGTCTTGTGTCTTGCTTTTCCCTTCCTTTGAAGGGTTGTTGTTGGAAGTTACCTTCACATCCATTAGTTAGTCACTGCATGGGTCTCCCTCTTCAGACAGTTACTAAATTTAGAGGCAAAAATAGCCGTGAATGTTCCATCTCTCTTTGCAAAAACACATTTTACAATTGCATTTTAAAATTTCCGTAGTATTTCGTTGTTCTGACTTTTAAAAAAAGCTCAATATAAACTATGAAATTCTAAGTTAGTTTACTTTGTCATCTTTGCAATCTGTACCCAGATTCCTGAAGAAATAGAAACTTTCACGATCTTCCTTTATAATACGACTGGAGGTGCCAGACTTGGAAATGTACTTAACGCAACTCTTCTTATTAATAAAAATGATGATCCCATTTATCTTGAAGGTTTGGAATTCATTTCTTAAAAAGTTTTCACTTTGTATTATGATCAAAAATTTGTTAGAAGAGGATTGGGTGTGTTGTGATAATTTAAATACCACTTTGAGTTTGGTTCAGCAGTTACAGACGTTATTTTACATGCATATGCTGGGAGACATATTTGTTAAAAGTCTGCAATGGTCTGACCCTGAATCACAGTCAGCGTGACAATCTAAAGTCTAAACTTTCACATTTTGTTACAATGTTTTGAATGGATCACTAGTCATTGATTATCTTGGCAGTATGTCACATATTCTTATCAACAAACAGGGATGTACTTCAGATGTCCCTTATCTATTCTCATTAACCTGTGAAACATTGTTACCACTGAGGCTTTACTGCTGTCTCCTGTCTATTCCCTTATTAACCTGCGGGATGTTACTTAGTGTTGTGAAAGTCATTAAATTTCATCTAAATTTCATCATGTCGGAGCTGTAATGCTTACTGTATTGAGTGGATTTTCCACCATGCTGAGAAAATCTGCTCATTGCTACATTTTGTCTACTCTAAGGGTAGTGCTGTGCATTCAAAAATCAATCTTAATCAATTGTCTCACTTCAGTCTTTCCTGTTGGCCAAAATCCTTAGCGCAGGAATGCTATCCACTGGGTTATTCCACCCAAAGGATGTCCACAGATCCTTCTAGACTTTGTGAATGTTGCATCCCTAAGTTTTTATCTTGCACCCCTCATAGCTCAAGCTGTATTCTTACTATGGTGGGATCATGGGTTTTCTAATAACTACAGTTTTAAACGCAACAATCTCCTTTTCCATATTCCTTGGCCAGTGTGTTGGCCAGATTCTCAGCCAGCTGTTGCCACCTCCAGCTATAGGTTTCACAAAGCAGGTTCGAAATGATTACTTTGCGAACAAGTTGAGATGATCCAAATCCAAGGATCAATTTGTCCATTTAGTCCTTAGTTCCACAAATCCTGTCACCAAGTGGTGGTTTTAATGTTCAGAATTTATTTTTCTTTAGTGTCTCAATTCTTCTGCTGCAGGTTGTAATAATACGAGCAGATTTGTTAATGTCCTTGTGGTGTTCAGGCAGAGGTGGTAAGTCATAGGTGAATATTTTAACATAGTCCTAGAGGTCATTGGTATCCCCGAGGAGTTTCAGTAATACATGTCGATCAGTTGATTGTGCACAGTCTGTATCCAGATGTCTGTGATTGAAGGTTGGGTTGGGCACTTACAGATTTAACTTGGATTAGTAGTTACACAGTACTCTCCCACATCAGGCATAAGTGGTATGGGTTGGTTTATAGTTGGCATTGCTTACCTTCGTGGTATAGTTGCCTCCATTTTAGTTATGTTAAGCTCAGATGTTGCCTCAGGGTCATTTTGCACTGGATGAGGGGCCCATAATTACACCTTGATGAGTGTTGCACACCTCCACATTAATTCTCACAAAACTGTCTTCTCCTGGGATTGTATAAAATAATGTTGTATACAGTAGTGTTGTGGTTAATTATCCTTGCACGGACCACTGGAGGACTCAGGTATGCAGGTTAACTTGGTGTTTATTCAAACAAATTCAGTCTTAGATTGGCTAAGTATAATTCTGCATGATTCCCTGTCCCAGCTCTGTCTCACATCTATCCAGTACGTGCAGAACATCATTAACCTTTACATGCCTGCAGTGTTTCCATTTCATTCTTGTAAAAAAAACAGAAATCTTCCATCCTAAGTCTTTCTGTTATCCTGTGTGCAGGAATCTGTTCATACTCTAGTCTGCTCCTAATGCTGATTCAGGCCTTAGGGTGTATAAGGTAACTCTCCAGTCATTTCTATTGCTGTGGAACATTAGGATGTGAAAGTTTATGCTTGCGCCTCACAGTACTACCTCGTATGGTGTTGCCTTCATCCTGTTGTAACCCTTTTTATAACATCTTACTTCATTCCCACTACAGTAGTATGTCGTGTTACACAACATAATCAAACTCTACAATTGATATAATTCAACTTGGTCAGCAGTGCAGTTTTTGGTTCCTGGTGGTATTTTATTGGTGTGTTGTACCATTTCTGTCCAGGCTCAGAAAAGAACTTAACAATTTATTTAGAACAAGGTTATCATATCACTCTCTAGTTTGGGGAGTCACCAATGCTCCCCTCCTTATTGGTTCTGGATTAATCAGACTTGGGGTCACTGACCTCCCTGCGTGTATGTTTAGGCATGGTTCTGAATCGAATATTCTCCATATCCAATTCTATGTTATCAAATCAACTCTTAAACCAGGACATAGATTTAATCCTCTCACTAACTGCACTTCTTCTATTTTGCATATTTTAATCCCCGGCCACAAATTCCAAGCCTTTAGCGCTTGTTGTGACATTCAAAAAGCATAATCATTTATTCTTGAGGTTTGCTGTGAGTTTATGGCTGAGTTAGTGCAAGCAAAACATTTTATGTTCTTATGGCTCCTTATTCCAGGAGCTTCACAATTCCTCTACTTACCAATCAGCTGATTAAATTTGTGTTTGTCACTTAATTTGGGGTGGTTACTGTGGTTAGCCTTTTACTTTATAAATTATACATCACTCCAAATGTATTCACAGTAACAGTATCAACAGGTTCTCTGTCCTCTGCAGACAGCACAACACTTGGACACTGTGTCAACTTGCAAAAACCACAAATCAGTATAACCTAATTAATTAATAATATCAATACATACTCTTGACAATATTGTTCTTGAAGTCACAGTACCCAGAGAAAGGGAAATAAATTTGTCCTTTCCGGTAAAATCTTAACTATTTCCTCCTATATCCCTTATACCATTCAGGGTTGTCTCCTTTCTCTCCTTTGATCGATTACATCTACTGCCCAGGATGCAGGTAGATGCTCTTGCTGATGTATATGGTGTGTGTGCTTCTCATACTGTTTCAGTTGCCAGGAGGTGTTCACCATTACTATTACCCACAGACTGCCAGCTATCTGATGGTTTACCTGAAACAAAACATTAGATTTGCTTTTGGCCCTCCTGTTGGCAGAAATGGAATGCTAGTCATATATAGTTTGAGCTGAGACTGCTGTCTCCCCTGTGACTTTTGCAGAACGGAGAGTACTAACCTCAACAGTTTAAGATTTTTCCTTTTATAATCTGTCTACCCAGGATATAGCTGTGCCAAGCTCTGAGCTGACTCATAAGGCTGTTGTTTTCATATTTACTCATTGTTTCTAAACAAACATTAAGAACACACAACGGCACATCGCCTTCACAAGGGCCACTTTATTATTTGTGCAGTTAGGAGTGGGAGCTTCTGAAACAATTCCTGATCCTTCTACTCACATACACTGATGACTACTCTTAGTTTTGAGAATCTATTCCAGCGATATTTTTGTTGTCTCCTTCTAGGCAGAGTGTTTCACTCCACTACTTTTCCCTCATAAAATTTTGTGCATCCCACTAGATACTATCCTCATTAATCCTGGAGAAATTTTGCAGTCCAATTGCTTATTAATATAGCGCATTTAAAATCAAAAATCAAAGGTTTTTGTTTGATGTTTCTTGTTTATTCTTTGTCTTAGATGTGTCTTACCTTTTTCTTCAACAGTAACTTCGCACATTAAGCAATACCTTTCGCAATTCAAATTATCCCCACTTTAAGAAGTGTTATTGGGGTGATAGGTTCTGTCCAATGTTTAATTTATTTTTCTTAAGAAGAATTTTATTTTTCATGTTTACTGAAATCTTTGTGAATATGTGTCCATGTCTTTTATTGTTTTCAAAAAAGTCTGATCAGATCCAAATGATATTAATTTGGTTCACTAATTCCAATTCCCTATAAAAGTCTGATCAACTGCTTGAAGTTGTGTGTGTGTGTGGAATGTCGATTTTTTTAGGTACTTCCTTCAACAATAGAGAGCAAGATTCTATTTCAAACTCTGCCTTTGCAGCCTTTTAGATCAACGTCCATTCTCTCCAAAATATTTTTTTCAACTCCTTTCTTAAACAGATCTTTGTTAAATTTTCTCCATTTTAACTCTTTGAGCCCACAGTATTGTGCTCAGATCAATTGCCAGTATATAAATTCAAAATTCACTTTCCCTTTGTAAATTGTATTCAGAACAAAATCCTTAAACTTTGTAGGACTTCTAACTCAAGATCAATCGAATTGAGGATTAATCAGAAACATGCCAATTTAAACTACCAAACATTAAGAAAAATAATTCTGAACATGTGAACTTTGTATCTGGATTAAAAGTCCGTACAGCGTTTTGAAATAATCCTGAAATCATAATTCTGACCAACAAACATGATTTCAGAACTTATTGCTTGAAAAATATACTTTATTATCCTTTCCACAAGTTATCATACTTGCTGTCTTTTCTTCAGACTTCTGGAATGCAAAAAGGTTAACTCACAGGAAGAACCTTTAGCTTGATCAAAAGAAAGCTTCTAAGCTTCCACACAATCTCCTCAACACTCATTCAGTTTAACAACATTTTTATTCAAAGGAAAATTTTTAATACTGTAAACCACCATCAATCTCTTCCAGCCATAGGGAAAGAAAAAGGAGTCTTAAAGCTTTCATTGACAGACCTTACATTTTTCTGTTCCTCTGGAGTCTGTCAGACCTTGTCCACCTAAATTCCAGAGGGATACTGCTACAAATTCTACGCTCATTAAACTAAATAATTGCTTTTGAACAAATAAAACACTCATTTTATCATTAATTATTGTTAGGCCAATTTTATTACATTTTTGCTTGGAAGTGTATCCCACATATTAAATGCCACAGTTTTAAAACATACAAGACTAGACCAGAGAAGGTTAGTGAATCTCTATTAATGTATAAAGACTGATGTAAACAGAACAAGGACAAAGCCAATAAATGTACAAAGACAAGGAGTACATGTGTTTCTTTCCATCGATGATCTAGGTTACTGTGTTGCTTTCAGTTTAAAATGATCTGTAGAATATAGGAACTAACTCCAAGTTTGCTGTTATGTCTCAACCACTTGTAGCTCGTGGTGGGGTATTTAAAAGAACAAATTGTTTCTCTTTGTGGTCAAATAACAAGCCGTTGGAGTGTCTGCTTGCCTCCTCTTAGCAGTTACCTACAAAAGTTCCTTCCAATTCCAGAAATCTTTTCAGTACATTTAATCATAAATCCTCTGAGTTGGTAAACATTGCCACACAATCGAGTGTCTGAACCTTGCTGTCTCCAGGCTCTGCGAGGAAAGAGTTGGCCACATATTTGACTTATGACCTTCCTTTTTAGGTAGCTGTGATTGCAATGTTTTTTCTTCTTCCACTGTCTTTTAATGTTGCTTGTCATAACTGACATGTTTTAAATGGCGTGCACGTAATATCACCATTGCCTTTTTCTTTGTGACCTTGAGACAGCTTTTCTCCAACATTCTTTATGTTTGTCTGGAACCTATGACAGATTCCACCCCTCCTTAACCATTTTACTTAAGATCATGTTATTTTAATCTGCCAAGAATTTGGTTTTATAGTCTGATTGTTCCATCTCTAGAAAATGTTCTTCCCACACTTATTCACTGGGCGAAGAAATAGTCTAGCCCATTTTACCCTTCTGCTTTTCCCCTTAGGAAGTGGTATTTTCATTTTACCCCACTTGGCTAGGAAGCAATCTTTTCTGTTCTAGCCTGTCAGTTCTCTCTTTAGGAAGTGTTCTTCCCCATTTTAGCTCACCAGCCTAGAAAACTTCCTCATGTCTCACACTACCAGAAACAGTCTATCTTGTTTTACCCAAATGTCTGTTCATCAATTTGCTTCGTTTTATTCTGAGAACAAATACAATGGTACCTTTTCTTTTACTCAAGGAACCAAATCATAATCATGGAGCCACACCTTCTCTATGCACAGACCCATTCCCTGGCTTCAAATTTGGTCATTGGTAGCTTATTTTAAATACTGCCCACCCTATCTAATAGGTGGTAAAATAGGTGGGGAAAGCGTTGCACTGCTTCCAAATCAGGGCAGGACTTACACACTTAATGGTAAGGTCCTGGGGAGTGTTGCTGAACAAAGAGACCTTGGGGTGTAGGTTCATAGTCCCTTGAAGGTGGAATCACAGGTTGACAGGATAGTGAAGAAGATGTTTGGTACGCTTCCCTTTGTTGGTCAGTGCATTGAGTATAGGAGTTGGGAGGTCATGTTGTGGTTGTACAGGACATTAGTTCGGCCACTTTTGAAATGTGTTAGATTCTGGTCTCCTTGCTATAGGAAGGATGTTGCCAGAGTTGGAGGGTTTGAGCTAAAGGGAAAGGCTGAATAGGCTAGGGCTATTTTCCTTGGAACATCGGAGGCTGAGGAGTGATCTTACAGAAGTTTATAAAATCATGAAGGGCATAGGTAGGGTGAATAGTAAGGTATTTTCCCAGGGTAGGGGAGTCCAAAACTAGAGAGCATAGGTTTAAAGTGAGAGGGGAAAGATTTAAAAGGGACTTAAGGGGCAACTTTTTCTCGCAGATGGTTGTGCTTGTGTGGAATGAGCTGCCAGCGGAAGTGGTGGAGGCTGGTACAATTTCAACATTTAAAAGGCATCTGATTGGATACATCAATAGGAAGGGTTGAGAGGGATATGGGCCAAATGCTGGCAGGTGGGACTAGATTAATTTGGGATATCTGTTTGGCATGGACGAGTTGGCTTGAAGGGTCTGTTTCCGTGCTGTAAAACTTTATGACTCTACGACTCTTCCTTTGAATGTATACATTGCTTGCAATGCCATCTTTGAGTTGGCAGTTGTTTTGCATCATTTCAGAATAATGTTGATTTTCTCTTCTCACATGTGTGTGCTCTTTGTGGCATTTGAACCATTTTGTAATTAAAACCTGTGTATTTTTTTTAAAATAGATTTGATTTAAATCTAAATTTAGGGATCCTAGGGATCTGGGTTTATTAAGTTGAAGTAACATTTGTTGATTGTTATACAACAAATAACTTAAATGACATCAAGTCATCCACGAACTTTGACCTAGAATAACACAAGGCCATTGTCAGTAGCCAGGGAACTGCTTATCAATATAACCGCATTGGTAAAGAACCCTTTGAAATGATTTATAAACGCAAAATTCATAACTGTATATTTTTAAGGTGGTCTGTTTGAATGTATGTAATGTCTTATCTGATAGTTTGTAGTGTAAAACAAATTCTGTCTGATTTGATGAATTTTAGACCCAATTAACCTTCGAGTCCAAGAAGGAAGTGTTGCCAGTTTCACAGTTGTTAGAAATGGATCTGCTGACAAGGTTGTTGCTGTTGTTTATGATGTTGAGAGCGGAGGAGCATCCAGCATCGAAGGAGACTTCCTTTCTCCTGGTGAAAATAATACTCTGGTATTTGAAGTTGGAGAAAGAGCTAAGACTATTTCTGTTGTTATTAATGAAGATGATGTTCCTGAAACAGATGAAGTATTCTACATCGTGCTGCTTCATTCTACAGGTACAATTACTTTTCTGTTTTTTTTTCCTACAAAAAGCAGTTGATTCTTGTTGCAGGCGCTGACTTCCAGACTCATGTTTTTCTTTTTCTTGATAGGAAGTAAAGAACAAGACTTTAAGCTATCTAAATGGGTTTGCATTAGTTCTAGTTCAGTTCTGGTGAAAGGTGATCAGCCTGAAACATATGTTTGTTTCATTCCACAGATATTGCCTGACCTGCTGAGACTTTTCCTGCTTTTTCTGTTCTTGGTTCAGACTTCCAGCCTTCTCAGTATTTTGTTTTTGTTATAATGGGCAGTGTTTTGTTAAAATTACTTCAGTATTTAAATAATACCCTACAGTTTAACTATTTTAGTAAAATAAATATGATGATTAATTCAGTTCAGAAAATCAAGTTCTGAGGCATTTGGAGGAAAAATATCTTATAAGGAAGTATTGGACTAGGCTTATATCCTTTGGAGTTTAGAAGAACAAGAGACTTGATTGAATCAGAATAGATCCTGAGGGGTCTTGATGTGAAAGTTGGATGTGGAGAGGATGTTTCTTCTTATAGGAGAATCAAGAACTAAGAGTCAGTGTTTTAAAATAAGGGAGTCAGCCATTTAAAACAGAGATGAGGTGATTTTTATATCCTCTGAGGGTCTTGAATCTTTGAAACTTTCTTCATGAAAATGTGGTGAAACAGAATCCTTGGATATGGCAATGGATATTTAAACAAGTCAGCAAAAGGTTACAGGGGTAAGTAAGAATGTGGATTTGAGGTTACAATCACACCAGCTATGACCGTTTTGAATGGTAGAGCAGGTTTGAGGAGCCAGAATAGCTCTCCAATCACTGCGCCAGCACCTGCAGCAGCACGGTGGTTCAGTGGTTAGCACTGCTACTACACAGCACCAGGGATCCAGGTTCAATTCCAGCCTTGGGGGACTGACTGTGTGGAGTTTGCACATTCTCCCTGTGTCTACGTGGGTTTCCTCCAATGCTCCAGTTTCCTCCCAGAGTCCAAAGATGTGCAGGTTAGGTGGATTGGCCATGCTAAATTGCCTGTCGTGCTCAGTGATGTGTAAGTTAGGTGGATTAGCCATGGGAAATGCAAGGTTACAAGGATAGGGTGGGTCTGAGTAGGCTGCTCTTTGGGGAGTCAGTGTGAACTTGAGCCAAATGGCCTGTTTCCACACTGTCGGGATTCTATGAAATAGCTGCTCACATATAAGTATATATGTTCATTAGTATGTTTATACCGGTGAGTCTTAGTGCATTCATAACTGCTTCAAGCACATGGAATTTTTGTGACACTTTCTTATAGATCTAGTTATTAAAGCAAGTTTTTGAGCAGTGATGACTGGTTTGGATATTGGACTCATTTCAGCAGAATTAACATTAAGGTATGGGAGAATTATCTTTATGGAAGGCATAAAAAGGGTTCTCTTCATTTAACCAATCTTTTGATTTTAAACAAAAAATTTCCGCTGTTTGCTGTTTATAGCACAATTATAAATATGTTCTTCATAAGCGCAACAATAATGTTTAGGTTCCAGTAACCCTTCTACAGGAGTTCTGAAGATGGGTCACTGGACCTGAAATATTAACTCTGCTTTCTCTCTGGCAGACACTGCCAGACCTACTGAGTTTCTCCAGCAATTTCTGTTTCTGTTTCAGATTTCCAGCGTCCGCAGTTCTTTGTTATTTGCATAATGTTTAGCTTAATTTATAGAGAAATGATTTGAATGTCTTTTTTAAGAAAATGCTCATAACTTTGCTGCATTTAATGAGCAAGATAATCCTTACATTGGGATCTACTTATTTCTACTTTGTATCCCATGGTGTTACTTTCCTAAAACTCCAAAATCATTCATTAAAGTAGTAATCCAATCAATTAATCCCTATTCTTGCATATTGAGCACTGAGTTTATTTGCTTGTTGTAGGAGATACAGTTGTCTATGAGACCTCAAGGGCTACAGTTATTATTGAAGCAAATGATGATCCTAATGGAATTTTTTCACTTGAACCTTTTGAAAAGAATGTATTTGAAGGAATGGCCAACAATTTTACGTAAGTAAAAATAATTTATTACTAATAGTAACAGTGTCAAATTTGAAACTAGAATGAAAACCAACTATATTAGCTTGTGTGTCCCAGCAATGAAAATAAACTGTTATGGAGTAATGTTTGTCATTTTTTATGCTAGAAGACATATTATTAGATACTTTGAATTGTGACTTTTTGCAATTGCTTTGACAATATAGATTCTGTAGCTGCAATTCAGGCGAGGCCATTGCAACATCTCTCATTCTGGGATGGGTGCCATACAAGGAGGTATTTAACCTCCCAATAGATCATGAATTGATCCAAGAACTTGGCACTGCAGTACCCCTGGTGAATGGTGAAGCAGTGGAGGGGATGGGTGTGGCATGGTACTGCTGAATGAAGGGATCAGAATACTCATGAAGCAGCTTTGAGGTAACGGTGTGGGAGAATAAGATTTGTGAGGTTAGAAATGACCCAGGCGTACTTTTTCAAGAGGGAGGTGCCTGTAGCAGTGAGCGCTACCTCCCTGAGCATCAGAGGAGGAGATTTACCAACATCACCAGAGCAAAATAAGTTGTCTATTTCTTTTGTCTCTTCCTTGTAGTGCATTAAAACTGTGGCATTCTTGATTTGTTCATTTTGTAATAATCAAATGTTTAGCAGTGAAAGTGGATGAAGCATTGCAGTGTGTAAGCTTCGCAAGCCCGGTAATAGTATGTTAGTGTCTGCAGGTAGGGGACATGTATGAGTGCCTGAACATTTAAATGTCTGTGGTAGTCTAGGGAGTAGCTCTCACTACTGCAGCCTAGTTTGAAGCTTGATTTGGGAATAACGATATATAGGGATTGTTTGTTGTGATGGTGCTTGCTTCCAGTCTCTGCTGAAGCAAAGTTTGAAAAATCCACTGCTGCCAAAGTGTCAGTTGGTTCAACTTTTAGACAATGCAGCAATTCCCTTTTGTTGATCAAGTGCCAACTTAAGGTTAATATTCTGAGAGGCAGTCAGCTCAGAGGCGATTAAGGAATGGTACAATATAACTAAGGCCATGAGTTCGATCTCTGTTCTGACCAGTGTGCTTGTTCTAAAAGATGTTGTATTGAATGGGATGTGTGAGGTTACAGCCCCTGTTTCAGTATCTTAAGGGGGTGTGGAGAGCTGTTGCTTAAGCTTTATTTGCATGTCAGCCCCACACTGCCTCAGGAGACCAAAGATCAGTAAGGAAGTTGGTGGTGGGCTGCAGGGGCTGGTGGTGTGCATGCTCGTGTAGCTAGCTTCTGGGCCTGACTAAGTTGACCATTATCAGGCCCATGCAATAGGTAGCTGTGGTGGTGGATGTCGTGTGACTATCTGTCTGCCCTTCTATTGCAGTCATGTTTGTGCATGGCTGTTCTGTGCCCATTGTGACTGCTGGAATTCCTAAGACCTTCCAAAACCTCTGGGCCCTGCATGCTCCTGGTCATTCTCCTGCTTCTGAGTGATGGCATTTTGGGTTCAAGTCCAATTTCAGGACTTGAGCACAAAACCCAAAGCAGATGTTCCAGTGCAGTACTAACAGTATTCTGCACTGTTGCAGTTGAAGTCTTTCAGAAGGGATGTTAAACCAAGTCCCCACCTACTTCCCTTGAGTGAATGTAGAAGACCAACAACACTACATGCCTTATAAAGTGTGGTTCTTTTGTCAATTTATTTATTTGTTTAGTTGATCTTAAATGTGTTGCTTCAGTTGACTGAACACTTGCCTCTGAATTAGAAGGTTCTGGGTTGAAGACCCCCTCCAGGACTTCAGCACAAATTAAGGTTGACATGTTAGTGGAGTTCTTTTCTAGTGGAGTTCATAGAAAATGCTGTCTTTCAGATGATATGTTAAACTGAGGCTTGTCTGCTCTCAAGAGAAATACCACTTAAGTGCCCCTTTAAGGGGTGGTTCATTAGTTTATTTTTATTTCCTATACAAAGTATGAAGAGGCACTTATTGACAGTTTATAGTGGTGGGTTGTAGGATTAGCTGATAGACATTGTTAATGTCTCATTTTAGGTAAATCTAAAATTGACTAAGGAATGACTTCTAGTCTCTTCCTTCACCAACTGGCTAAAAGAGTTTTTGTGATTCTCTGGCTTTCAACATTTTTGATTCAGATCTTTGTCATGCTGCTGTCAACAGAAGAATGCTAGGTTAATGTCACACGCTGTGGAGGCAGATAGGATCAGCACAAGTTAGGTGACAGGTTTGTGTGAAGTTCAGTGTTAAATTTGAATTTGAAACCGCTAAATGTTATCTGAGCAGCAGGTGCTGCCATCATGAATATCTGCAAACATTTTCCCTGATAAGGAGAGATCAGTGAGTCATTCTACAGTTTTCAGCCGCTCTTTGTGGGACTTCAGTGGCCCATTTCGAGAGAACAAAAGAAAGGAACTTTGGGATAATTTTTTTAGGATTTAGACAAGACAAATGATAATGCCAAGTATGCTGTCCTCTGTTAGTAGTTACTCAGATCTGGAACCTAGCATAAATAGCATGGTTTTGAATTGACCTTCAGAATACAGTCTTCTCTCCTAACAACAAGTTATGATCTTTTTATCTGCCTCTATTCAGATGTTGCTCCTGTAAATAGCAATCAGTGATGCCAGGCTCTAATGAGTCCATCAAAATTCTAATTGCTCCAATCAAAACTAACTGAAAATCATAATTTCAAGCCTTTCTTTTTTATGATTGTTTTATTTAACACATTTGTTATCGATGAAGTAACTTTTGGCAACTCAAAGCTATAAACGGTGAAATACTTCTGAGTAAAACGTTTTCCTTTTGTTTCGTTCTCTTGCTTATAAACAGGATTATAAGACAACGAGGAAAATTTGGCAATGTCTCTGTTTCATGGCAGCTGTTTATTAATGATTCTTTTTTGGAACCTGGGGAAGAGTTTATAGAAACGACTGGGATTGTCCTGTTCACAACTGGGGAACATGCCCGTCCTATAACGCTCTATGCAGTTGCTGATGGAACTCCAGAATTCAATGAAATTTATGTTCTGAGGTTGCTCAATGTTTCAGGTATTTGCTTTATTTGGAGAAATGAATTGTACTGAGTATAGCAGCTAGTTTACCACAGTCAGGTGGCCTCTAAGTCTGTCATAAATGCTTTCAATTGAGTTCAATGGCTGCCACAAACTAATATTTCAGGAAGACCTGTTGAAATATTGTTCTATTTTATACATTGTCAAGAAACTGCAGTGCTCTTTTGCTACAGTTTTATTAACATAAAGATCTGAAATTTATGGCTGCCTCTTAATGAAATCATGTAAAATACCTCCTTTTTGCAACACATCAAATTTCATACTTTTCGTTGCTTCCAGAGTTTTTTCATAGACCTGGAAAAAGAGAAGTTTCTAAAAAAAAATGTGCCATGTTGTAGTAAAATATTGAATACATTTGTAACAAAACCTTCTGTTTATTATTTTAAAATAGAATAAAATATATACGATAATTTAAAATAATGAGTTTATTTCTCGACTTAAGTAATTGAGAAAGAAAATGCAAATGTATCAAGTGGTTAATAATATTACAAACAGGCTTGCAACATGTGAAACTTCGCCTTTCAAGATGGTGTTGGCTATGAATGATTGTTGTTGAGCAAGATTAAGATTCATAGTCAAAGCAATCACTTGCCTTAGCAATTAAAAGATAAGATGTATGTCTTTGCTAGAGTTATAATAGTTTTAGTTTCAAAAGATAACATAATCTAAAATTGAATTTGATACTTGTCCAGAAGAATAATTTTGGAAAAATGCAGCAATTTTTTGTTAACTCCATAGGAGGATCCCCTGGTCCTGGTGCTAAGTTATCAAATGGCAGCTTAAGCACAAATGTTGTGATTCCATTTAATGATGATCCTTTTGGAGTTTTTGTTCTGGACCCAGAAAGCCAAGACAGGGAAGTTGCAGAGGACGTCATTTCAGTTGATGATATGTCATACATTACAAACTTTACCATTCTGCGACATAAAGGCACATTTGGGGATGTTCGAATTGGATGGGAGATACTGTCCAATGCATTCAGGCATGGATTGCCTGATTTGACAGACTTTATACTGGTTGGAACATTTCCCAAATCTGTTGAATTACGGCCTCATTCAAGGAGACATCACACCGGTACAGATGCTCTGTACTTTAGTGGAGCAGAAGGTGTTTATGGAACCATTAACCCAGAATATCATCCAAAGAGAAATAATACACTTGCAAATCTTACATTTTCTGCATGGGTGATGCCTGATCCCAACACTGATGGATTTATCGTCTCAAAAACAAGCATCAATGGAAGTATTTACTATGCTGTGAAAGTGATGACAAATGAATCTTCTGTGTCACTCATGTTCCTGTATTCTCCTTTGGGGTCAAATACCACTCATATCGCCACAGCAACAGCATTGAAACAGGTTGAAGAAAGGACTTGGATACACATTATAATCGTGGTATATGATGGGATAATTGAATTTTATTTGGATGGGACTCAACTTCCTGTTGGCATCAAGCATCTCAAAGGGGAAACAATTGCAGATGGTAAGTGCTCAAGACTGAGGATTGTACACAATTTAGTGGTGCCTTTGCATTGCCAGTTTTTACCCAAGCAACTTTGTTATCAGTGACAAATCATCTGTTTATAAGAGGCAGTGCTGTTATTTCCAGGAGTTCTGCATCACAACGAACAGTTTAGGACAGATTCTTCCATGACAGTGATACTTCTAGTGACAACTTGAAGATGACTGTCCTTAATGGCTAAAGTGATCATGTCCATCTTGTGTGAACTGTCCAAGTGTCTATAGAACATTACATTTGGAAATGTACTGTCAATCAGTTAGGAAGTTAAAACAATAATATTTCGTCAGGCAAATGAGATCAAACAAATGCTCATCAACTCATTGATTTTCTCCATCTTTTGAGATGTTGTTTTCAATACACATAGTCAGTTATTTATCATAAATACAATTACTGTGTTTATTAAAGTAATTTTCATGCCATTTTAGGTAAAGAGTATATCAGAGGATGAGCACAAACAGCTCTGACAAAGGGGTTTACTATTGGCCATAACTTTCATTTCAGCATGCCTTTTTTTGAAAAAAAAACTTCTTGGTGTTTATATAAAATGAATAATTTCTGTAGTTTAGGGAGCTTTCTTTCTGGCAGGTTCCAAGTTCAAATTATTCAAAACTATTCAAAACACAGTGTCACATGCTAGTGAGAGTCGGAATAAGGAGGTAAGGGAGATCAACCCTTGGCTGAAGACGTGGTGCAGTGGGCAAGGATTCAGATTTTTGGATCATTGGTTTCTCCTCTGGGGCGGAAAAGACCTGTGCAAAGGGGGAAGGGTTTTCGCTGAGCTGGAAGGGGACCAGTATTGGGAGATGAAATAACTGCACAAGAGACTGGTGTCCCGTCACTAAGTTGCCCTTTAATTACTTGTGCATATTGGTCAGCCAAGGCTTTCCTGATTTGGGTTGGTAACTTGGGCCAATCAAGAATCTCGTAGATAATGAGGTCAACCTTGTTGTAGTCACTACATCCCTCCCTGCCTAAGCAATTTAATTGTTTTAACCCGCATGTTGGGGGAACTTTCTAAAGTATGCACCCTTCTGGAAACCATTCGCTGAGTTTTCCTACTCAAGTCAGGCCTTGTAGGACTGCTTTGCTGTCTCAACTTCACATACCAGCAGCAACTACAATGGATTGCTGGCCCAGATCCTGAGGAACTGTTTTGTAACATGGGCAAGGCCTGGCTTTGTTGTGGATTTTTGCCGTGGGCTATCCTAGGGTCCCTCTGCTCAGGATATGCCCTGCGTGAGGTTCTGCGAGAGCCTACACTCAAGTGGGATTCCCCAAGCTCTGTTGGACAAGTGAGGGTGCCCACTGCCATTGGGATGCCCTGTATTTCTGCAGCTCCCACGTTCCACTTTCTGCATTTTCTAATGACAGTGCTAGTTGTAGTGCCTGTTTGAAGTCCAGTTGGGCTTCCGCCACTTGGTGCTTTTGTATGGTTATGTAATTTAATGTCACACACCAAACGGTCTCTCAGTATCTCATTCAGGGTTAATCCAAAATCACAAGCCTCTGCCAGTCGTTGTAACCTTGTCAAAAATCCAGATACGGATTCCCGATTCTCTAACAGTCAAATAAAATCAATGGCATCTCAATATTGGAGGAGGTTTGGGGTCATAATATTCTTTAACTAGCTCTGTCAACTCTTGAAAGGTTTTTTGTGTTTGGTGCCTCTGGGAAAGTTAAGCCCCTTATCACTGAAAATGCTGCAGTCCACACGTCATCAGACAGATTACTTTTCATCTCTCCCAGTGTCATTTGCCCAGAGAAGATATCACAATCTTTCAACATACTGGGCCCAGTCTTCAACAGAAGGGTCATATGAGTCAAGCTTCCCAAACAGAGGCATGATGCCAGAAATGCTTGCCTGAACTACAAGATGACAGTTGCAAGCGAATTTCTTCGGGCACGCCTTGTTTTCTCCCATCACCACTAAAATAACTGCATAGAGCCCGGTGTCCCTCCCTAGCTTGGAATCACTCCCCAGAATTGAGGAGATTTTAATCTCCTAGTTTTATTGGTCAGCCAGGGCTTTCTTGATTGTCCCGGGTTAACAACCCCAATCAAGAACCTCGTAGTTAACGAGGTCACCCGGGTTCCAATCACTACAGGAGATTTGCTTGTGCTATTTGGGAGCCTTTAAACGAGTAAGGCAGGAGAGTGAGAGGATCCTAAGTGGTAGTGAACATAGGAAGATAGATAAGGATGGGTTTGAATTTTAAAAAAAGCACATTAATTCGAAAAGGCAGGCAAGAGCAAGTCAGAGAATGAAATAACTCTGATGTATTAAACTGCATTTATTTCAATGCAAGAGATCTTACAGGTAAGACCGATAAACTCTGGACATGTACGGGAACATGAGACTGGGATGTCATAGCTATTACAGAAACATGACTGAGGGAAAGACAGACTGGCAGCCCAGTGTTCCAGGGTTTCGATGCTATAGAAAGGTAGGAAGGGAGACAAGAGAGGAGGGGGGTGGAAAACATTACTGCGGTACTGAGAGAGAATATTTCTGGGGGATCGTCCAGTGAAGCTACATGGTCAGAAATAAGAAGGGGTTGATCACCTTGATGGGATTGTACTACTGCAATAGTAAGAGGGAAATTGAGGAGCAACTATGTGGAGGGATCTGATTTTTATAAGAATAATAAGGTTGTAACATTTATTTTTCCTTTAATCATTCACGGGATGAGGGTGTCGCTGGCCAGGCAGCATTTATTGCACATCCCTAATTGTCCAGAGGGCAGTTCAGAGTCAACCACATTGCTGTAGGTCTGGAGTCACATGTAGGCCAGACCAGTTAAGGATGACAGTTTCCTTCCCTAAAGGACATTAGTGAACCAGATGGGTTTTTCTGACCATCAACAATGGATCAACATGGTCATCATTAGACTCTTAATTCCAGATATTTTATTGAATTCAAATTCCACCATCTGCTGTGGTGGGATTCAAACCTGGGTCCCCAGAATGTTATCTGGGCCTCTGGATTAACAGTTCAGCAATAATACCACTAGGCCATTGCCTCCCCTAAACAGTAGGGGATTTTAACTTTCTAAACATTGACTGGGACTGCTGTAGTATTAAGGGCCTGGATGGTGAGGAATTTGTTAAATGTGTTCAAAAAAAATTTCTTGAAAAATATATAGATGTACCTACTAGAGAAGGAGCAAAATTTGACCTTCTCCTGGGAAATAAGGCAGGGCAAGTGACTGAAGTGTTTGTGGGGGAGCACTTTGGTACCAGTGATTATAATTCTATTGGTTTTAAAATAGTTACAGAAAAGGATCGGCCTTTATTTAAATGGTAAGAAGTTACAGTATGCTGGGTGTCCTTGTGCATGAATCACAAAATATTGGTTTGCAGGTACAGTAGGTAATGAAGAAGGCAAATGGAATATTGTCCTTCATTGCTAGAAGGGTGGAGTTCAAACACAGGGAAGTTATGCAGCATCTGTTTAGGGTGCTGATGAGGCCACACCTGTGGTACTGTGTACTGTTTTGGTCTCCTTACTCAAGAAAGGACGTACTGGCACTGGAGGGGATGCAGAGGAGGTTCACTAGGTTGATTATGGAGTTGAGAGGGTTCACTTATGAGCAGAGATTGAGTAAACTGGGACTATACTCTTTGGAATTTAGAAGAATGAGGGGGGATCTTTAAAAAACGTATAAAATTATGAAGGGAATAGATAAGACAGAAACCAAACCTGCCTTTCATGAACTCATGCTACGTCTGCCCAATGGAACAGTTTCTATTCAGACGTTTCGCTGTTTCTTCCTAAATGATAGATTCAAGCATTTTACCCAGTACAGAAGTTAAGCTAACAGGCCTATAGTTACCTGTCTTTTGTCTATCTCCTTTTTTACGACTGTACGACTCTGACTCTATTTGCATAGTTACAAATATGAGGCTGAATTTTCTGCTCCTTTTTTCAGAATTGAAAGAGCTCTGCATTTTTGATAGGAGCTTCTGATCAGGGTTTCTTCAGCAAGGTGGAGGGTACTTCCATTCTTATAGGTCCCTTGTAGTGCAGAACAGTTGGGGATGGCAATCCTACTCCATTTTTCACGGCAGTCAGTTACCATATTTTGTAACTTCAGGGTCTAGCATCATAGACTGCTCGTTTGAGAGCTTAAACACATAAAGAAAATGCAAGTTTCAAGTATTAGTTGGGTGGGGTGCTGGGTGGGTGTTGGTAGGATGCCAGGTGGTTAGATTGCATGGCAGCAAATGTGTCATACAAGCAATTGAGTGGTTAAGGTGGGGTGGCGTCAGCAAAAGATGTTGAGTTTGGTGCAGAGCATTGGAGTATGATGCCATATCCTGCAGAGAGTTGTCGGGTGTGTGGTGTCAGGGTGGGAGTCTGGTTGCAGAGATGGTGGGGGTGGGCCTGGAGAGTTAGTGGGGGTGGGGTGGGGGATACCAGGTACTCCTCTTCTCCCTCTGTCAACAACTTAAAAAGCACATTTGCTGTATTTTGCTTTAATTTAGCCAGGGCACGTCTAGAGCTTGGCTTCTTCTTTGTTTAAAGTGTAATCTTTGCATGTACATTGCCTTGCAGCCACTGCATGTCAAGTCTGCCCTATACTAACACTGATAGGGAGTCCAATTCCTCAATGGCTAGCTGGTGAGTGACCACAGCTGGTGATCCATACTGGGCAATGCTTTTCATCCAGGTTGTCATGATACATGCAGTCTGCAGCAGCCTGCTGTGCCAGCTACATTTGGACCAATTTGGCAAGTAAACGAGAGCCTACCAGGTGATGTGGATAATCCATTACCCACAAGGCTAATGACTCTTTGACCAGCAGAAAGTAATCTTTGCACCACATAACTGGCAGGCTGCAACATCTCCAACAAGAGGGAATGTAATCATTTTCCTTTAACAATTAATTGGAGTTCCACAGTTGAATCTCTCACCATCAACATCCTGCAGTTGCCATTGACTAGTGACTCCATGTGACGAGCTACACAAATAGTGAGGCTACTAAAGAAGGGGAGGGGCTGGGTCTCCAGCAGCGAGTAACTTACCTGTCTCTAAGCCTGTCCACCATTCACAAGGCACAAGTAAGAGATGTACTGAGTGCAAACCCAGTAACGCCTAGGAAGCTTAACACCATCCAAGATAAAATTTGATTTGATCATGATCCCTTCTACCACTTTAAAGATTAGCTTTGTCTGCTACCAGAGCACAGCAATTTGTTCTGTCTACAATATACCCTGCAGGAATTTGCCAAGGATTCTTTGGCATCGCCTTCCAAACTTAAAGGCACTACTTCTTAGAAGGACAACAGCATCAGACACATGGGGAAGGTCTCTATATGCAACTTGCCCTCCAAGTCTCACACCATCCTGACTTGAAAATATATTGCTGGTCCTTCACTTTCACAATTAAAGTTCCAGGACTCCCTCCCTAACTTTACTGAGTGTGCCTACCCCATATTCAGTGCAGTGATTTGAGAATGGTGGCTCAACATCACCTTCTTGAGAGTAATTTCAGATGGAAAATAAATGCTTAGCTTGTCAGCAATGCTTAGATGCCAAGAGTGAAAATCTTTTCATTTAGAAAGAAAGCTTTGCTACTACAAAAAACATGGTAGAATGCTGAATGAGCCCTTTCACTGCATTGCATGAGTTAGCATCAAGAATTGTGATAGCCTGTCGTGTACTGCTTTTCACTCCCAAGAGAGGACATCCCTTAATGCCAGATTTACAGCAAGCTGCTGATGTGTAGAACCAAAAGGACAAGAGAGACAATCAAGGCAGTTTGATCAAAGATCACAGACCTGAAACTTTAATTGTTTTTCTCTGCACAGATACTGTCAGGCCTCCACTTGATTCTAGGGTCAACAAGGTGCAGAGCTGGATGAACACAGCAGGCCAAGCAGCATCATAGGAGCAGGAGGGCTAGGGTTTGTTTTTATTTCTGTTTCCATCCTTCCTGCCAGGGGCTGCTCATGAAAATCTGATTTAATTCGATAGCAGTTACTGCAGTTCCGATTCCCAATTGCCAATAGCTCCTTCCCTTCCTCTGTCACTGAACAGCATAGTGTCAGTTTGTCAAAATACAACAATAAAAGCAACCACAAAATAAACATTCCAAACAAAGGTTCAAAGTGAAGTCATTCATGCAGCATGTGAAAGTCACCTTGTCATCATTGTACATTACCTCCGCTTCTGTCTTCCATCCGCGTCATTTTCTCAAATGCAATTACAGATGGACAGTAAGTGCTGGACTAGTCAGCGATGTCTACATCCCAAGAATTGTATTTTTGAAAATGCAAGCCATGTTACCACACAAAATGTGACAGACAGCTGAAACAACCCTTTCACTGCCTGGACTGCTGTGGGGGAGTGGCACTGCACTCATCACAGGGTAGGTATACTCAGAGTGGGAATAAATGGGGTGGCAGGCAGTGACTGGTGGAATACTGCAAGGTCAGTGCTTGGGGTCCCAGCTAAAAATATATATGTGAAAACCCGCATGAGGGATCTAAATGCATCATTCCCAAGTTTGCTGACAACATAAAACTAGGTGGTGTTGTGAGGAAGAAGTAAACAGACTTCAAGGTGATCTAGACAAGTTGAGTGAGTCGCAGATGCAGTACAGTATGGCTATATATGAAGTTATACAATTCGACAAGAAAAACAGAAAGAGAAAGTATTATTTAAATGGTGATATATTGGGAATTGTGAATGCACAAAGAGATCTTGGTGTCCTTTTTCACCAGTCAAAAATAGTAGATAGGTAGGTGCAGCAAGCAACCATGGAGGTAAATGGCATTTAGGCCTTCATTACAAGTGCATTTGAGTTCATAAGTGGGGATCTATCACTGTAGTTATACAGTGACTTGGTGAGAACTGATCTAGACTGCTACATGCAGTTTTGGTCTCCCTACCTAAGAAAGGATATACTTGCCAGAGAAGGAATACAGTAGAGATTCACTAGGTTGGTACTAGGAAAAACAAGACTGTTTGTTCGAGGAGAAACTGGTTTGACTGGGCCTGTATTCACTCCAGTTTACAAGAATGAGAGGATCGATTTGAAATATATAAAATTACAATCAGTATTGACAGACTAAATACAGGGTGAATGTTTTCCTTGTTGGGGAGTCTAGAACCTGAGAAAGAATATTAGGATACAGGATAGACTATTAAGGACAGAGATGAGGAAAATTAATTCACTCGAAGGGTAATGAATCTCCTGTGAATTCTCTACCATAGAAGACTTTGGAGGCTAAGTAATTGAGTATATTCAAGAAAGAGATACATTTTGAGATCTGAAAGTCTTCAAGGGTTATGGGGAGAAAATAGGAATGTGACATTGAGATAGAAACCTTATCATCTTGAATGTTGGAGTTGGCTTGAAAGGCTGAATGGCCTGCCCCTTCTGTTTAGTATGTTGTATACTCTATGTTCAGTACTATCCCAGTGACTACATCATGGCTGGTAGAAGGCTGCGGAAAGTCACCCAAGGAGACTGTAGGTGGCATTGGACGATGATGTTGAGCAGCTATGGAACAGGAGCTACAGACTACACTACTTCATTTTGGGAGCTTCTAACTGGGTGGTTAGCTGACTCACAGCAGCAAAGGGGTGGGTACTGGCAGAGTGTCAGTGATGCCTCGAACATTGGGAAAGGACAGTGGGGTAGTGCTCCATTGAGCGAATGCCACTCCTCCACAGTGGAGCCTCAACAATACAAGCAAACTATTGGAGGACAGACCGCTGGAGTGCCCTGCAAGCCCCTTTGTGCAATGTAATCTAAAGCTCTGATGGGAGCAGTTTGTATTTCCATGCCAGCAAACTGATCTTCTGAGTCTGTATGAGCTTCTGTTGCAGCACTGGCTGCCTGATGTTAATGCATGCATAGAGGTTGCAACATGGTCCATCAGATGTGACATCATGTTTGGGTCTACAAGTGTACCAACAAAATAAGCTCCCATTTTGGGACATGAGTGCGTGTTATACAAGCTCTGTGCAAAGCTGTTTTGCTGGTGGGTCTCTCCATAATCTTTGATATTGAGTGCAGATTTCCTTCATCCAGCTCTACACCTTGTTACCAATGGTGTGTTTCATTGTGCAAACTCATCACCATTCAGTTTGCGGATTCAGTGATTTAATGGTAATATATATTTCTTTTTAAATCCTAATGTGCTGCGCTAGAAATCTGACTTGGGCAGTAGCACAATGTTGGAAATGTATTGGCTTTCTCTTCTGTACTCCATCTTATGTTCACTTGCATTGCAGTCAGTATCATTGAAAAGATAATCTACATTTTGCAAATCCGGATTTAAAATCGTTATAACTTGCTCAAAGAAAATATGCGGAAGCATTTCTAATTTCATTGGTGGGCAGTAGTCAGTTTCTTACCAAAATCATTTTATTTACTCTAAAGCAGAAGTTTAAAATAAGACGGCTAGTGCTTGTACATCAAAGAGGATGAGTGGAATTAGAAGTGCCTTCACAAAGCAATGTAATAGTTTTGGCCTAAGTGTGATAAATCAGTGGAGCTCAGTTTGGGCAAATTGAATTTTGAAATAATACAAACCCACTTGTGTGTAACCCACTTAATGTTTAAAACTGCCTGATCTTCTTTACTGTTTAGCCGATTCCAGCTAGGTGATGTTGATATTTTCAGTTGTACCTTCTAATTTTTTTCTCTGTTAATGCTAGTACTTTTGTAATCTGATTTGACATGCAACAGGTTCTTCTTCTTTGATAAGTCAGTAAACATAGGACAAGATTATAACTGTTCACTTGAACAACTCTCCATTCTGTAAAATGTCATTAATCCTATTTATGTGGTAATCTTTGTCGTTGTTATCCATATCTCATATATTAAGTTTCATATGTTTGCAGATTTGGACAAACCTATAATAACCATCTTTTTGTTGAAAATGATAATAATATTTAAAAATAGTTCTATGTTCTACAATTATTTACAACAACATTCTACATCTCTAGGCCCTGGTGTTTTAACTGTTGGGGCAGATGCTGATGGAATGAACAGGTTTGCAGGACTGATGCAAGATGTGAGATTATATGGCTGTAAACTGAACCGAGCAGAAATCCATGAAATTCATGCTACTCCGGCAAAGGCTGATCTGCATCCAATATCAGGATATCTGGATTATAGACATGGTGAAAAAATGAAGTCATTTATTGTTGCTGCAAGGGATGACAGCGAAGAGGAAGGGGAAGAATCTTTCATATTAAAAGTGACTGCTGTGCATGGTGGAGCCAGAATATCACAAGAAAATACCACAGCCAGGCTACGCATACAAAAAAGTGATAATGCTAATGGATTGTTTGGTTTTACTGGGACCTGCATTCCACAGGTGAAATTTATATTTCGTATTGCTGATGACTTCAGGCAATTCCAAGCTGCAAGATTTTAGCTAGAGCCATGAAAATTGAGATCTTTATATACCTTAGAATGCAAAAGCTTGTAGATTAGGAACAGGCCCTCCTGGTTATTGTGCATTAAGTCTTCTCTGCTAACATAATCCAAATCTATTTGCACTCGACTACCATAGTCACCATAGTCAGAAGTCATGTGACACAAGGATACAGCCCAACAGGTCTTTTTGAAATCACAAGCTTTCGGAGCGTAGCCCCATCGTCAGGTGAAGTGAACTGGAGTTAGGATTCATCTTGCAAAATAGCCACTGTATTCACTTTTTATACGCAATCAATTACTTAATCAAAACTTGTGTTAAAGTTTGTCAAACATGCATGCTCTTCTTTAGTAAATAATTTACCTTATTCAACTCAACATCCTTAATCTTTTGATCGGGATTATAAGGTATCATTGTCTTTGGTTACCTTGAGAATTTAGCCTGGATGCCATTTTTTGGGCTGTTAGAACTTGTATTTTCTGTAACAACAGGAAGTGCTACACCTGCCCCCATACCTCCTCCCTCACCCCCATCC